CAGTGAGATACAGACAGACACAGTGAGACACAGACAGTGAGACACAGACAGACACGGTGAGACACAGACAGTAGGATGAATACTCAAACAGTGAGACGGAGGCAGGCAGGCTGACACTGACTCTGCTGTAGTGCATGTCCGCGCTCCACAGGTAAGGACAGCTCCCCGCGCAGAAGTTGGCCTTGTAGCCCTTGGGCTCGTGGATCCACCTCCAGTTGAGATCCCGACGGAAATCGATGTAGAGGGAGTGGAGACAGCAGCTCTGGTCGGCATTCCTGAGGATGGGAGGGGGACACAGGGCAGATAGCACCGAGGCACAGAGAGCGGGCTACCGGCACAGAGCGAGGGGAGCGCACACACACCTGGAGCAGGTGGGGGTGTCCCCGGCCGCACGCCGCTCGCGCCCCTTCTTGGCTGGGGACTCCAGTCGGTCTGTGGGCAGCAGGGTCAGGATGAGGTGGGGCGTCTTGGTGCTAATGTCGAACTTGGAGCCTTTCGAGCCTGACTTCTTATACTGTTTTATCAGCTGGTCATCCAGGCCTGAGAGGGAGAGGAAAGTAAGTGAGACAGATGGACAGAGAGGTACAGATACCAGAGCTCTGCCCAGTGACAGAGAGGTACAGATACCAGAGCTCTGCCCAGTGACAGAGAGGTACAGATACCAGAGCTCTGCCCAGTGACAGAGAGGTACAGATACCAGTGCCCTGCCCAGTGGCAGATGGACAGAGAGGTACAGATACCAGAGCTCTGCCCAGTGACAGAGAGGTACAGATACCAGTGCCCTGCCCAGTGGCAGATGGACAGAGAGATACAGATACCAGTGCTCTGCCCAGTGACAGTGAGGTACAGATACCAGAGCTCTGCCCAGTGGCAGATGGACAGAGAGGTACAGATACCAGTGTCCTGCCCAGTGACAGAAGGACAGATACCAGTGTCCTGCCCAGAGACAGAGAGGTAAAGATACCAGTGGCAGATGGACAGAGAGGTACAGATACCAGAGCTCTGCCCAGTGACAGAGAGGTACAGATACCAGAGCTCTGCCCAGTGACAGAGAGGTACAGATACATCTTCCCTGCCCAGTGGCAGATGGACAGAGAGGTACAGATACCAGTGCTCTGCCCAGTGACAGAGAGGTACAGATACCTGAGCTCTGCCCAGTGACAGAGAGGTACAGATACCAGTGCCCTGCCCAGTGGCAGA